TTCCCCCCCCCGGGGGGGGGGGGGGGGGGGGGGAGAAAAAGGAGAAGGGGAAAAAAGAATATAGAAAAAAACGCGCACCGGGACCGTCTCCTGCGTGCTCGTCGTGCTCGAGATCGACGTCGGCGGGGTGCAGGTCGTGGAGGTCGTCTGCGGAGCTGTCGCCTGATCCGTCGCGCGGGTGCTTCGCGCCGCCGAACGACGCGTCCGCGATGTCCGGAGGGACGCCGCCGCCGGCGTCTCCTACCCCGTGCTGCGCTGCGGGGTGGCCATAATCCATGGAGAGGCTGATCGCCACGGTGGGCTAGTTGTAGCGGGGGGGTGGAGCGACGCGAAAGCCAGAGGGGAGGTTGTCCCGTTCGTGCGCGGTGGGGGGGGAGAGCGCGAGAAGGAGCGAGGAGAGGAAGGAAGGGGAGAGGTGACGGTGTGATCGGCGCTCGCGGGAGGTGGGCGGAGACTCAGAGCGGTTGTGATCTACCCATCCGCCGGCACGGTCGCGAGATTCGGGCGCTGGGTTCGTAAGGAGGGGGAGAGGGGGACACGGGGTCGGGCCCTGGCCCCGGAATAAAAGGCCGTCGCGGATTCCGTCGCTCGCGCCACAGGCCAGAGAGGGGGACGAGCGGGAGAGAAGCAAGAAGCGGCTGCGTGTCGACGGCGCGGGGACATGTGCCAGTCCGTGTCTCTCTGCCCGTCACGCCAGGGCGTTGCGCGGCCACGGAACGCCATCGAAAACGCGACATCTCTTCCAGCGCGAGTCTTCGTCCTTCTTTCCCCCCCGACGCTCCGATTTCGAGGCCGTGCCTGCCGCTTTCGTCGAGTCTCCAACCCCCCCAGCTCCGTGCTTCCTCCCCGATTAGGGTTAGGCCCGAGGAAGGAAGGGCCAAGGGACCGAGGGAAAAAAGGCGAGATGGCACCAGGAGGAGGACCCCGCGTCGGGCGCTTGCCGTCACCCCTTCTCCCTTCCCCGACCCGTGATCTGGTCCCCTCCAAACCCTCCACCTCTTTTCCCCCCCGAGCGCGTTTCCATCAGCCCGCGCCCACCGCGCACTTTCGCCGAACCCGGTGTCGACCCTCTTCGTCGAGAGCGAGTGGGGCCGACTGCCTGGCGCGATCACGATCCACCAACGTCACCGCCTCCCAGGGGCAGAGCGGAGGCAGAACCGAGATCTGGAGACGAAAAACCAAATCAAACTCGTCGTGGGAAACCGGCCCTCGTGGCGGAGAAGGAAAAGACCCCCCAAAAGAAAAAGAAAAAAGAAAAAGCGAAATCAGGAGAAAAAAAACCGTTTCCCACTTCGTTCGCCTTTTCTTTTTCCCACCATCCTCCTGACGTGACGACGGCTCGGCAGGCTCCGCGCCCTCCGCGACCCCCGGGGATCCATCATCGCGCTCTCCTTTCGTGCCACCTGTCCGCGCGCGCCAGCCCGACGGTCCCCGCCGGCCAACGCGGAGGGAGCGAGAGACGAGCGGGGGGAGTGCCTCTCTACATACCCGGATAACCTACCCCACCCGCCCCTCCCTTTCTTCCGTTCTACGCCGTGACCGCGGACCGATACTGCGCAGCAGCAGCAGCAGCAGCCGCCCCCAACGGTTCTCTCCCCTTTGGCCCGCTGCGACGGTACTCTCTGCTCATGTACAGGGCGTGTGCTCCTGGAGGGGGCGCCCACGTGCACGCCAGGTGAATGGGCCAGCGGTTTTCGCAGTAGTGCCTACGGAGGACGGATGCTCCCATCCCATCAGAGCGCACCCATCGGGCCCGCAACCCATCTCTTCTCTCGCCGAGGATAGGGAGGAGCCCCAGCGGGTGCAAGGGTCCGCTGAGCGTATCGGGGATCTGGCTCGCTCTCATCCCCGTCGCTCGTTCCGCGGCTCGTTTGCAGAGAGAAGGCCGCCGACAAAAGCGCGATGGCAAAGATGACTCTGAACCCCCCCCCCCCCTTCCATCGGGATAGATCTTCGTCCCCGGTTTTTTACGTCCCGAGACACGCCCCAACACCCCCCAAAACCTTGTCCATCCCCGGCCCATCGGGTTCCATATCCATTACCTCTCTCTCGCTCATTACTTCCTCTTTGGGCGATCGTTCCTCCTCCTCTCTGAGCGTGTAAGCTAGTCAGCCCCCACCGCGCAAGGAAAGAAAAAAAAAAAGGTCCTAACTCTCCGAAAAAACCTAAACATGTCGCTATTTTTCACGTCGCAGCGTCGGCGCCTTTTTCGTTGCCCCTCCACCTCCCCCACAACCCATCCCCCTTACTTAACCACGCGCACAAGTCTCCGGTACATCGGGTTCCTCCGTCGTATATTTAGCGGGAAAAGGTTGAGAGCGCAAAGGCCTATCCCAGGGAAACGAAAAAAAAGAAGAGCCAACGTTCGCTCCGTTCCCGTCCCGCCTTCCCCGTATAACCTACTCGGACAGCCACTATAGACATAAAAAGACGAAGGAGACAGAGCAGGTGAAGAGACGAGGAACACTTCAGAATCGTCGAGGCGAGGCGAGGCGCCCGAGCGCATCTGGAGAGATGTAAGTACAGTCATATAAATATGTAGTAGGTAGGTAGGTAGGTATATTATTCTTTGCTTTTTTGTTGTTGTTTGGCTTTTTTTACCAATGGGGTTTTCTTACTTTATCGTCGACCTTTGTGCTTGGGTGCGGAACCGCGTCACATCGATTTCCGTTTCGAAACGCATAAACCCCCCACCCCGACCCGAGAAGGAACTCGAACGCTATCCACCCGGCTTCGGTGCAAAACCTTCGACGACAGGGAACGAATCGGTGTCGGCTTGCCACATACGACCTCTCCCTCAGCTTCTTCATCTTCTTTCAGGCATATCGCTGCGCGCCCCGCCGAAATCTCGTCACCTCCACACGGACGCAACGCGTGAAAAAAGGAAAAGAAAAATCGACCGAAACCGCGCAAAAAATGGGCACAGGGCCTCTCTCTCGAGAGAGAGAGAGAGAGCCCGAGAAGAAGGGAAACAGGTGCGAGATTTTAGTGTACGTACGTAACCGAGGCCAGGGTCCTAAACTTCCCTCCAACCCAACGATCCAATCGCGGAAGATTTCCAAGGAAAAAACTCGCAGGAAGAAACTCTCGTCCAATTCTTCCCTCCCTCCCCCCCGCCCCGCCCCACGTGGGATCGCGTCACCGCAATCTCGCGTGTTCCCGGAAGTTGGCGTTTCCCGTGTACGCGTAGCGTGCGCAGTCCTGCGACGACTTACTGGAACAGACTCGAGGGGTTAGCACCACTAAAGTAAGGAGCAGGGGGGCGACCTCACGACACGTCCCCTCCCAATCCAGCGCAAACATCGCACGCGTCAAACGCGCCTAACATCATCGAGCCATCGTCACGCGCCAGTCCGTTTTGCTAAAGCCCCAGCCAGCCGCCGGGAGACACGCACCGGCCGAGGCTCGGTAACGAAAAGCTGATCTCGCGAAAATCGCCCACCGCGGGTGTCCATTCGTCCCATCAGGCCGATCAGCCCCTTTCGAAGCGTGCGTTCCCCGTCCACGCGGACGAGGACAACTCGGCTCTCGAGGGCGAAAAGGCTCGACAGAACCTCGGGACTCCGGGAGCCGTTGGTTCACCCCCCTTCCCCCTTCCCGGAAGGAAGCCCGATTACAGCTACCGAGCGCGGCGTGGCCGAGGGAGCGCAACCGCCCAGCATCCATCAGCGAGAGAGCCCGGGAGAACCACAGAGGGGAAACGACCGCGAGTGGTTGGGTGGGTGGGACCCGAGCAAAGTCTCTCACCATCTCGCGTCCGAAGGGTTGGGCTCCAGCGGGCCTGGGCATCAACGTCAGTCGCCTTCTCTCTCGCTATTGCCTCCGGTGAGCGCGATTCTATCGGTTTCTTCGCGTTTGCGTTCGCCTCGCCTCGCCTTACCCACACGTACGCGTTATCGTTCGCGAGCGTTATTTATGCGCAGTTGCGAAGGACCTGTCTCTTTGGCAGCTGATACGTGACAGTGGCGGATCGCAGCGAACAACGATAACCCCCTTATTAGACCGAGCGAAAAAGCGCAAACACGATCAAACCCTGCCCTTCCAGAGAGATATCAGACAATCAGACACAACACAAAAAAAAAAAAAACGGGCATCGATGACGTTACTTTGTGTGGCGATATGATATGGTTTCGAGACAAGGGATCCGCCCCACTTTGAGTCAGGGACCCTCCCGGTGTTCGTATCGTGCGATGACATCTGCTCACTTGCCGGAAAGGAAGTGTCGAGGGATATAGAGACATTGCTTCGAGGGCAAGAAATTCACCGGACCCATTCAATCCATTATAATGGGAAGTGAGCAATGAATGGGTGGTCGAGAGCGAGATGCCCCACAGGCAGTCAAAGCCTGAAGGTTGATTGACGAGAGCTCACGGGAAGCACCGCGCTCGGTAACTTGGGGATGCGGTATCGAGAGAGAGTGGGAAAGGACTCCGAGGCCGGGCTGGGAAAATAAATTCGAGACGGTCGAGTCGGGGGAAAGACCGGTTTCTTTGGCCACGCGTCGCGTGCGAACATCTCTCGCCTTTAGGAAGGAGGCGCGCCCAAAGGGATCCCATCTCCTTTTGATTTCCTTTTCCACGTGGGAGGAAACGTCCCCAGCCAACCGCTTTTCCCAGCTGCTGACAACGAACGGGGAGCTCCGCGCATCCTTCCGTCCCTCTGCGCCGGTCATGCGGGCAGCGGCGAATCGAAAAATCCGACGCGAGGGCGGCGAAACCGGCCAGACCACTCGCAGTGCGCGCGTCGCGCCTCGACGGTGAACCGCGCACTCCATCAGACTGTTCCGTGCCGTGAATGGGAAGCGATGAGAAACGATACGCGGGACAAACCAGAACCAGACCAGGAACGAGGGTCAGGGGAATAAGCTCAGGGATCAGAGAGCCTCGGGTGAACGTGAGCGGCCAGGCTTGGCTCACGGGCGGCGAGATCCCGCGCAAAGGGAGGGCTGGATATATGATATCCGGAGCAAGGAGATATCGCCCTTTTCGTTCAAGTTTTGGCTATGGAAAACGCCGGCGCGTCATACTCCCGCCCGGTATTTCCAGATTTCGAGAACGAAGGCACCTGAAACGTGAAACCAGATAGCATAGCCAGGGATCGCATTTCACCGGAGCGCAAAGACGCAGAAAACCCGTCGACAATGCGGCCGTGACATTGGTGGCGCACGATTTAACGGTTAGATGAGGAGGAAGTTGGAAGAATGTTGGTCCTGCGCCTATCATAGGTCGACACGGTAGCGCGGGTGGGAACACGAGAAGCGATGGGGTCATGGGCTAACAAGAGAGTGCGACATTTCAGACATACGAGGAGGCTCTCCCGATGCACAGCTCGGCAGCGCGTGGCGGGTCTTCTTGATGAAGGGAACTGCGATCCGCACAAGCGCCACGCTTTCCTTGGAGAGTCCCGGTTCGGCGTGGTAGACCATGACCAAGATCCGCCTACTTCGGTCATCCGCCAGTCGTTATCGACTTCGTGCCCAGGATATGCTTGATATATGTATCGCATCGCGGGAAGCGCAAATAGCGTACCCGCTGATGCAGTAAGTGCTATGCCTAACATTGCGAGATGGAGCGCGACTGTGCAGCCGATTGGATTCGCCCGCGGCGCGCAGCGAGAGCCCGACAACCGTGCAGGCGGCATCCCACCGATCGTGTTTCACCCTTCCCTGTTCACATTCAGAGTTACTGAGGATGGAGAGCGGGAGTATCTGCAGGCTTACCTGGCATGGTCGTGCGGCCCTTGGATGTCGCCAAACGTGCCGTAGGCAGTCCTGGCCACCATCATGAAGGGTCGTCTGCCGTGCTTCTCTGGATCTCCGCTTCTAATCTTAGCTACGGCTTTCGTTCATGATGCGCACACACCGGCATCATGATTCGTCGCCGGACGTCAAGACTGTTGGACTGGTTCACGTCAACACTCGGCTCTCTGCAGCACTTGTTGATCTATCCAGCGTCGGCGCAGCTCTTTGCGATCGCATCAACCGTGCCTCCTGATACGCTGTGAGGCTGCGGTTGTTTGTGATGCTCTTGTATCGTCACGGCCGGTTGCGGTGTGCTAGAAGCTTCGTCATGAACGGAAGTTTGAGCTCAGCGCTATCGCCGGTTAATGTTGTCGGGCAGAACGCCTCACAGCCTTTGGTATTCTTCTAGATTGGCCACCGAGAGGTATGTTTGAATCCGGTCATATACTGGATCCGTCGAGTCAGAGCCTGTCACAGGGCGCATAAGGAGGACACAGCTCACTGTGCGGCCATCAACATGCGCGAAAGATAAATGTAACCGGGACGGAACGGAAGCGGCGGGCGCCACGTCATAAAGCCTCTAAAAGCGAATTAGGGTCCTGAGCGCAGTAAGTTAAACCCCAACCGTTATATCACAAATCAGCCCAGGCCGCGCCGTGACCATCTCCGTGAGCGCGCAATGAACAAATCCTTATTGGTTGATGTCTCTTCCACCTTCCATAATACAGCCTCTGTTTGTGAACGGGATGCCCAAGTTGGCTATCGTTCGGGTTCGAGGCATTCCAGCAGCGGTCGGGTGAACCTTGCAGAAATTCCTAGAGAATATGTAACGTTTTGACCCATCGTGAGATTTCGTCCAGAAGTACTGACTATTGCGCCGCCAACGGAAAGAAGGGCAGCCGAACTGTCGTGTTTCGAGAAGATTGACATCACGAACCGATCGTGCTCTTCCGCCGTAGGTGTTGCCACGAGGCTTCCGCAATGTTGAGCATGAATCAGCGGACATAACTGAGGGTAAAACGGAGTACAAAGGAAATTGAACCGCTTCTAATGTCCCGAGTGGCTCAGTATCTTGAATACTGCCCGTAGCTTTTGCGCTCCTAACCTAGGAAATAGCGTAAATCAGTACCGAGAAGCACGCGATAGAGCAAAAACTAGGGCGCCTGAAATCCCGAAATCGATCTAACGAGTCCCCTTTCACGCCGTATACCGCTTCAGAGGGCGTAACAGAGATCGACTTGAACGCAAAAGAGGATGGCTAGCCACGTGTATCTCAAACTCTAGGGGAAGAGTGTTCTATGTAAGCAGGTGGGATGGGGCTCGATCGGAGATAAATTGCTGACGTACTGCGGAAGCTCCACACCGACGTTAATGATAGGAGTCCACATGGTTCCGAAGTCCGAGGAGAATTCTGCTTGCATCCTGGCTCGGGGGATGGACAAGGGCGTGGACGTTATGAGAATGGAATTCGCAACGTACATAATAGGCGCGACATGACACGTTTATGTCTATCATTCTGCCTAAACCATATGCAAGGAAGTGGGCCCTCCGCTTTCGGACAACGAGTGAGTGGTGATGTACCGCTCTAGATGAGATGCCCACAAGTGTTCGTCACATCGGCGGTTGTATAAAATCTTGTCACCGATTATGGTTAAAGGCCAGTTTGGTCACGATGCGTGGATGTTTTCTTGCTATGCGTGGGATCCGCCGTATCCGGTCTATATGTCAATTTATGCTTTGGTATCAGCGGAGACAAATTCTGATATCCCAGGATCACAGAACGTACATATTTCAGCCCTGACCGGCTACAATTCCTCGGAGAAAAAATACGAAATGTCCCTCACCCGTGCCAACTAATCATATCCGCCGGTTGCGCTTGCTGCGGTCGAGGTGATAGTCGTCCATCTACGGGAGCATCCGGAAGCTCACTGCCACTTTCACGTTGAACGCACCGTTCTTTGATCGATTAGATGAGAATTCCGACCCCTCGGTCACCCGTAGTAAATGACAGGTATGACCCAATCCAGAGGCACATCCAATACTTCAGCATTTGCCAGGAAAAGCAACAAGAATATCTGCAGATCAGATTCAACATCGGAATGAGGGCTTGGAATGATTAAACGGGCATACCTGACCGCATACATGATGAAATATTCGACTCTGGCAGTCTGACAACGTGCAAAGAACCATCGATCGGGTGGTCGCCTGCGCAGATGTAACCCACTCTCTTGGAAACAGCGGCGAACTAAGACCTGCTTGTGCGAGACAACCGCGTGAGCCCCGTGGCGATTTCAACCGCAGAAACGGATGAATCGACTGTATTCTGCACCTAGGCTTCGTTCGTCCGTCGAGAAAGGGCCGTTCATGCGATCAATGTCTCCACGGAGTTACATTCACGGCGATGTCAGTTGATCGACTTGCATTCAAAGAGAGCGCGAGCTCGTGCGGTACCGGCTGTATGATCCATAATGCCTTCGAATGGTGTCGTAAATCAGTCCTATCAGCTATGACCACAAAGCCGTACTGAATCGTCGATAGTTCTCACGGCGTTCGAGGAGGTTCGCGTATCTTCCTTTGGCTGTCGGATTAAGCTCTCGGTGAATTCAGATGCCAACATCCATGCACGTAGCCTCAACCTGTCGTGGAGGGACATTGTCAACGGAAATTGCTGAGAGGCATGGGAATCTGCTTACTCCACCTCTGACAGCTTCCGGACGGAATCGAAAGCGCCCGGAACGCGTTCCATTGTTGTGTAATGGAAGCGTCGCCTCCATGGACCATGCGTTGAAGGAACCACGTAGAACGTCCGGGGTTGAACATACGTGAAGGAGTGCCGAACCTCTCTCTCAGGCGATCTGTGTGGTGCAACGATCGAGGCGTACAAGGGCTGTTAGCGTGAACCAGGGATCTGGCGATCTCACAATGTTTTCCCTCGTCATTTTGTCCGAAGTCCGGGAATTGGACAAGCCACCCAGGTGTGAGACGCCGCATTCTCGCAAGTTCCGAGGCTCTGCAGATATTAAACCTTCGGCGATAATGCTCGCCGCCGGTCCGTAATCATGACTCACCCAGGAAACAACAACAGGCACCGAATAGCTCACCGCGTATATCCATCGAGCAGGTAAAGCGGTTCTATCCGGCGAAGACAAAAAACATCGAATAGCTTCCGAGACAAGGCACAAGCGGTCAAAGGCCTGCAGGAAACGCAACAAGGGAAAGACCATGAAGGTTTCTCGCGGAAAACAAGGGAGTGGCCAGGATGGGTACGGGCTCGGAGATACCGGGTGAGTCTCGACTTTCCGACCGGAAGTGATGTACACCTTTGCTTGTATTCACTCAGTATGAATAGCATACGCCAAGTCCCTCAAGCGCACGAACAATCGCGCAAAACCTGAGTCGGTGTATGCGAACCAAGTGTCGTATGGCCGCGGGATGCACATCGAGTACCCGCCCCTGGGGCCATTAATGGCGAGTTAAGACACTATACAAGACGGCACTTAGCTCATAGCTCATCAGAACCTCAGCCAACGATACCCACATTTGTCACGATGCAACCAAGGCTCGATGGCTGGGTACGTAGTTCCCCGAGCAAGCCGAGCTACGCATGAATCTATGGGCGGGAGCCGAGCCTTCCTCTTGCGCTCCGCGCGAAACTTTCAGCTCCAGCGGACAAGCAGCTACGGCATCTTCAGAGAATCTTCAGGGCAGCGATGTAGTCAGTCAGTTTTCCGGAGGGCGAGCCCGTTCGCTGAGGGCAGAAACGTTGAGCTGCGCATCGCCACATGCCCCCGCGCGATTGCCATCAGCGAGCTTGACATTGATCATGACCTAAAGTCGGCGCATACACAGGGCATATATCTTTGAGAACGCATAGTCTTTGTCACCTACGCCAGCCTGCCAATTGTCGCCATGAAAGACTTAGTACTGGACGCGAGTGAGTCGGCGTTCACAGCGTCCTCAAAGCGATCGCTGACTCGGCGAATTATCTGTCTCTCCTCGACGCGTTAGATTTTCCCCGCACTCAGGATGGGCGCGTCTATCATCTTGGCGTTCGCTATGGGGAGGTGGCAAACCGGATAGTGAGCGCGCAAACATCCCAATCACCCCTGAGCGTTCACCCAACGTGCATACATCCAGGTCACGGTTGGCAGTCCGTCTCGAGCGCATGGCATTGCATCTTTCCTCGATTCCAGTCCAAAGCCCTTCACCCTCACTTCCGAACGCGGGTTCCTGACTATCACCGGAAGATACAAGGTGTGTTGCATACCGTTGTTCTCCTTCGGATCGCCCCTTTGTTGCCATCATAGAACAATTTACTCACAACGTCCAGTAGGGCGTCCCGGTCAGTATAGTCAGCATTGGGATGGGCGCGCCCAACGCGGACTTCCTCGTGAGGGAGGTAAGGGAAAGCTTGGACGGCGATATGATTGTGGTGAGGTTCGACCCTGGTTTCATTTCTAGTTCCATTGATGATCCATGCTCGGATGCTTCATGTTCTTCCTTCCATCTTCCGAGGTTCAGTTCCTGTGATGCTTATATGGTCACTTCAGGTTAGGTTCCTGCGGGGCACTGGCACCTATACCCGTCGGAACTGTAGTACTCCCGGTCGCCAGCGTAGCAGGTTGGCCGTCTTCGTCGCAGCAAGCCATGGTCATGGCCCTATTACTTATGATATTCTTTTTTGGCCCTAGTTACCCGAAACTACGACTTCGACTTCCGGAACTGGACAGAAACGGATGACGAGCAGCCCTACCGCATATCGAAACCCGTACGTCCATGCCCGGTGTATACATACACACTCTAGGGTCATGTTTTCCTCGTACTTCCTAGGTTCATGTCGATGTCGACTTGCATCAAGTCGTACGTCGCTTTACTCTTCACCGCTAGTCGTCGCATCACTGATCCGATCATTCCAGCTCAAATCTTCTCTCGAAGCCGCCAAGCCGCCCTCATGGGTCCCCGAGGTCGTGAGCGACACGATCAACGCGAGCGCAGACAGGTGAGAATATATATTCGCCACGTCGTCCCTCCCTGCTGACACATGCACTCATGAACGCAGTTTTTACTCCTCGCAAGGCCGCCAAACTTCCTTCCCTGATCACAACGCGGACCTCATCGACGAGATCCAGTCGAGCGTCCCAGGTGTCGCGACTTTGGAGGTATAATGCCTCCCGCCTCCATTTCCTGTTCCCACCTGGCTGACGTTGTCCCGATCAGATGGAGACGTTCCACATCCTGCACCTCGCCGCCTCCTGGCCACGGCACGCCCCACGCCAGCCCCACACTGAGCCGAACGACCCGCCGCTCACCGCCGGACCAGTCTCCGCCCACATCGACGCGCCCGCTGCCCATCAGCCTGCGGAACCGCAGCCCTCCACAGCGGAGTCCACCGCTGCCGACCCGACTTCTGGGAACGCACCAGCCTCCACCACGGCAGAACATGGCCAATCCGAGCACGAAGACGGAGTCGAGCTCGATATGCCTCCCGGCGAGGACAAGCCGGCGCCCTCCACCTCCCGCTCGGCGCGCTTCGCGCCGCTCGTGCCCAACACCCACATCCGCGCCGCGGCGGCGCAGATGGTCTTCGCCCAGCGGCTCTCGCAGGACTTTATCACTCCGGAGAAGGTCGCCGAACTGGAGGCGTGGGCGGGCAAGGGCGTGCTAGACGCGCTGGTCGCGTTCGAGATAGAACATGGCGTGAGTGTGGTGTCCTCTAGTGCTAGAGAGTCATAGTTCTGATTTGCTTCTGACGATGTAGCGTCTTCATCCCGAAACGGGTTCTGTGTGGGCTCTGCCGGCCGTAGAGGAGGTGAAGGCAGTCTGAGCTGTATCCTGGACGCGATGCATGTGACGGGCTCTAGTTTTCATCGGTGTCTTAGCAATATGAATGACATCAGGTTGACGAGAGATTCCGGATGAGTTGATAAGTTACACGCTGTTCAAATCGACAAAGTCAAGACACGCTCTGCGTAGTGTGGGATATATATAAATATGTGCGTATTGGCATTATACTTTTCCGAGATCCGTTTGTTCGCCTGTCTATTGAAGAATGCCACGACGAAGTCATCGCCCGACGCCGAGCCCCCCTGCAGGGTCCATGATCACATGCGGCGCGTCGTCAAGCCCACCTGGCAGTTGGTGCGCGCCGTCGATGTCAGCTGTCCAGCTTCGGAAGGCCTCGTAGAGGTATATAAGGCCGAAGAGGAGGAAGAGCACTGCTCCGCCGAGAGTGACTGCAGAAACCAAATCGTCAGCTTGGAAGGTGACCCGGGTGTGAAAGACGGACCATGTTTGACGGAAATCTTCGTTGAAACGTAGCGACCGCCGAGAACGGCGAGCGCAGTACAACACGAATGGCCGACGATCGTTCCGAACGACACTAACCATACATTCTAAACGATACGATTCAGCGACAACACTACCGCGATGACAGCGAGCACGTACATGCGCTGCGCCCAGTGCAATCGTCGCGATTTGACTCCGGTCGCCCCACTCGCCAAGGAAGGTGAGCACGAACGCTTGCACCAGCACCGGTCCGAACAAGAAGCTGCACAAGTTCCGTGCGCCGTCCACGATTCCGCCACTCTTCTTGGGCGTCGCGTGCCCGTTCGCGTGGTTGCCGCCACCTTCTTCGAGCGTCTCCAGTGGGATGACTTCTCCGTTCTCCCTCACTGCACCGGTCCCATCCATCTTCGCGTCGAAATCCTCGATCTCCTCCTCCGCCTCACGCATCTCCTCCTCGATCTTCCCGCTCCCCGCCTGCATCTCCCTTCCCTCCTTCAGCATCTTCCAGCCGAACACGAAGAACAACGCGGCCGCGCTGAGTTGCGTCCACGCTTTCGGGACGAGCGTGGGCAGTATGTGGCCGAGAGCCGCAGACAGAACGGACATGAGGGCGAGGGAGAGGAAGGCACCTGCGAAGACGGCCATGCGGGGGTGGCGCATGGCGAGGATGGCGGCGATGAGGAACGTTTTGTCGCCGATTTCCGAGAATATGATCATCGCGAACGAGGAGAGCAGCGTCTGGGTCGACGAATCATCCGGACCGGTTGGCGCGGCCGTGGACATGTTTCACTGTACTATTGTGAGTGTATGGTGTCGTCGTTGTGAGCAAGTTAGTCGTTCGTAGGACGTCAAAGACGTATTATAGTCTATAGCGAGAGTGGATGAAAATAGTGTAAGAGCATGCGCCGGGCGAGTTAGTGAATAACCGTACATATGCGTTATCCACCGCGGATGACGCGCTCCTTTGCCCAGCGAAGTGATATCCGAGGAAGATGTCTATGTCGTAGTACCAGCTTTATGTCGGGAACGACAACTGCGGGGACGGCGGGCGGTAGTGGTCGTTACGATGGAAAGAGAAGAACATCGCGTCCGCGTCGCGCTGGCCGACACAGCGGAACATGGACCGCCCGCCACGTGCGGCGTCCGATGCCCAGATTCAGTCGACGCCACTGGTCAACGTTCCGAAGCACCGCGTACGTGAACGGACGAGTGCTGAAGTGACTACGGAAGGACATATCGAAAACTCGTGACGACGAAACCCGAGGGCCTACCAACTCGTTCAGACGATCAGTGCTTGCGGGAGCGCCAACCTCTGTACACGACATAACCTCGCGAAGACCGGTTCAACCTCAATAGGATCTGGTAACGGAAGCCGCAGGCATGAAACTCAATGGAACGTGGAATGCGGCCCGCTCGTATTCGTGGGGAGACGCAAGGATGTTCAGGAAGAAGCCCGAACGACACTCCCTTGCTACTGTCATCGATGAATTTTCGGCTTGTAGATGACCAGTGTGTGCCTATTCTATGGCGTGCTCGTGGCGGGAGCGTCTCTTCCAGTTGGACCCCTGAACGTTGAACACTCAAAGCTAGCCCCAGCAACCGTCAGGTGTTCCCGGTCTCGCTCGTCGGTGACCCAGGCAGGCGGCCCTTCTCAAGGCGTACAACCCTCCTGTCGCTCAATCTGCATCACGCCGATGGCCTACCTGCATTCCAAATATTCACGGCCAGCCACGTTTCAAGCAGGTCTCAGGCTCAAGTCGCTGGTAGGTCAAGCGTCGATCTGTTCCTGGCAATCTCCTTCATCGGCACGTTCCTTATGGCACGCTAGATGCTAACAACCATGTTTCCTCTAGTTATCGTCGCCCTATTACCGCCCTCGGAAGATGGGTTTTGTCCGCCTGGCAGTAGCACTTATCTGCCCCTGCTACAACTGGCTTCTCGTGCTCCTATCCTGATACTCGCATCCTTCCCTTCTCCGAATGCGGGGTTCCTCATCTCTGTTCCTCCAAATCATCGCACCTTTGCGTGCTCGACCTGTAACCCACGAGAAAACTGAAAGAACCCGCGACGTTCGTCAAGATCCATGTGTTTTGTTCCAGTGTTGAATTGACAGATTGCAGGGCGGTGTTTGTCGCTACATCGGTACATGCTAGTGCAAGTCGTTAGACGATGCGTATTTACTAACAAATGGAAGGTATAGGTAGCCTCGATCCAAGAGCGCATCGTGAGTATGGTACATGTCACGCTCTCCCTGGGATGAGCGACGTAAAACCTTAAATACCCAAATGAATATATGGCGCCCATCGGCTTGTTTCCGGATAGACCCTGCGCAACTTCTGCACCGCGGCGTCGAGCGCGTATGCAACGTTGTCGGGATCGATGTATTTAGTGTCGCCTCCAAATATATCCTGATAAACGGACGTCGCGATCTCAGGTCCATCAACATCCTCCATCGACCTGCGCGATCGAGGTCAGTACCTCGGTGACGGATGATGCCACGTTTCCTGGAGTTGAACGTTATTGCTCACCACAATAGGGGGACTCAAAGTTGGCGATTATGCACTGATTATGTGTTGGATTATGCGTCGATTCTGTGTCGATTCTGGTGTCGCTACACGACTATAATCCGACTCTCAACTTTGAACCCCCCGCTACACCAGCTGATTATGTCCGGATTATGTGCGTGATTCCTTGTCTGCCGACACTTCGGCACGTCCATCGGAGCTGCAATATATTGGATCCCGAACAATGGGCTTGCCACGAGATTGAGTTAGATACCGCGTGTGTCGCTTTCCCCCATGCCTCGACACTCCGTACGAGCACGAAGCATACGCGACCTCGTAGAGGGATATACACTGCAATTGCTAGCAGAAGGCAGGTCAGAAGAGCAATCATCCTCAGATAGCTCTATGGACACCTCCGGGTCATCAGCATCGGAGTCTTCGAGCTCATCGGGCTCATCAGAGCAGGCCGATGACTATCAGCCGCTTTTGCAGCTCTACCTTTGTGAGCTTGCAGCAATCCAGGCCTCACGGTACATGAACGAACGCGAGGCCATCATTAAAACC